ATTTCTTTTTTCATCCTGATCATTTATGTATACATTTGTCTATATCTATCTCGATTCGTTTTGGCTGTTACAAACAACCGTTATGTGAACAAAATTAATATACCCTTGTGCACAAGTGCGCTCGGGTATAAAAAATAAAAGTGTTATTCATTTTAACATGAGTGTACACATCATTATACACAGGAGCCAATAAAATACATATATTATATTTGAGACTTTTTGAATAGCAACAATGAGATAATTCCCATTTTCAGTGTTTAAATAGTCAAAGAATTCTATACATTTCAATTTAGAATTACTTTTAATTTGAAGTTCACTTTCAAAAATTTTAATTAGAAGAAGAAGGTTTCTCTTTTTGCGCCAGGAAACAATCTTTATTCTTAAGATCCTCTCATACTTTGAAAAAGTACCACTTTTTAAGGAGTTCATCTATATTTCCTAATGGCTTAAATAATTTTTCAACTACGCAAAAACTGTGAAAGACTAAAAAGAGTATCTCTTGTATGCAAAACTCTTTTACAAAGTCATAAATAGAGAAAAAGGAGTTGTAAGTTATAGGCAAAAGCCATTCGAATATTGTTATTAAACTGAAAGTTATTTTCGAGATAACAACACTCGACAAAAATTTAAGCCTTCTTTTTAAATAATTTAAGTTCCATCATATTATCGCAACTGGTGCGTAACGACCCGGCGATATGCCCATAAAACGATTGATCTTTTTGTTGTATTAATTTCTTGGGCATATCAAACATATTGTGGCGAATACTGCGGCAACACAAAGCGAACAACGAGAAATAGGCAAAATGTTCGGAGAATGACGTAGAATGTTCCACAAAGAGCAACGTCAAGTTGGATGAACACTGCGAACAGCGAGAGAAAGAGAATGAGCGATAACCTTCAGAATGTTCTAGAGTTGCCATAAGTGCCAGCGCAGGTATATAAGGGCGCCGCCACCGCGAGTTAGTTAGTTACAAGTCAGCAAGCTACAAGTAAACTGAGCAGAGAAGCGAGTTGTGAATAAGCAAGCTATAAGTTTAATTGTGTTAACAAGTAGTAAAGCGTTGTAATTGCTTTAACAAGTATTGTAGTGTTTTTGCTGTATTAGCAAGTATTGTAAAATTGTTTGTTGTACAATAAAGTTAATTGTACTACCATTTGGTCATCGTTAGCCTTTATTTAACAATCCAGCGATACGAACCGGAGAATTTGGGAAATCCGGACGAGGGTTCAAGGATAATCGTAACAATTGGTGTCAGAAGTGGGATTGTTAAATAAATCCCGAAGGATAAACTACTGAAAATGGCGAAAATTCAGGACTTAAAGATTGAGGAACTGAAACAGGAGTTGGAAAAGCGTAATTTGGCCACCTCCGGAAGAAAAGTGGAATTATTATCCCGTTTGCGGGAGGCTATGGAAGCTGAAGGCATCGACGTGGACAAATACGACTTCCAGGGTAAATCCGACGATGCATCCGCAAAGGACGAACAGAAGGATGAGGCTGCTTGTTCGTCGAAGGATGTGCAGCAGACATCAGCGAAGCTTGAAGAGCAGGGAAAGGCTCCTTGTGCGTCAACGGCTATAGACATGAACATGTTGTTGGGTGCCATATCACAGATTTCATCCCAGCTGCAAGTGCAGGAAACACGCATGTCCTCGCAGCTGGAAGCACAGAAAACGTACATGTCATCGCAGCTAGATGAAAAGATTACTCAGCTACAAGAGAATTTATTTAAAGATTATGCGGAACTCAGAGAGAGACAGGATAAAATCGAGGAACGACAAGATAAAATCGAAGAGCTAATTCAGGAGAAAGTCGAGGCTAAGGTAGAAGAGTTGGAAGGTCGCCTCCGAGATATGCAGTTGAATCGCCCACCTTCTTCGACCAGCGCGCCCAAGGTAAAGACTCCATCCTTTGACGGCACGATTCCTTTCCAAGTCTTTAAGCTCCAGTTTGAGAAGACAGCTACAGCAAATCACTGGAGCATGGAGGATAAATCCGCTGCACTGTTCGTTGCATTAAAAGGACCTGCAGCGGAAATCTTGCAGACTATTCCTGATTGTGAAAGGAACAGTTACGATGCGTTAATGGGTGCAGTGGAAAGACGTTATGGTAGCGAGCACAGGA